CGCAAACATGCGCAAACGAAGCGCAAACGATCACAAGAAAAAAAAATGAAATTTGTAAACTTTGGGGGCAGTCGTGAAGTTGGCCCCCCCGAATTTGATTCCTTCGTAATTTTGAAACCGGCAGCGCGCAAACGAAGCGCAAACGATCAAATGGAAAAAAATGGCAAATTTGAAAAATGGGGGGCCAGTATGGAATTTTGTATTTGGAATAACTCAAAAACGAAGGGGGCGCAAACGAAGGTATTGGTAGCGCAAACATGCGCAAACGAAGCGCAAACGATCACAAGACAAAAAATGTTAAAATTGTAAACTTGGGGGGCAGTTGTGAAGTTGGCCCCCCCAAATTTGATTCCTTCGTAATTTTGAAACCGGAAGCGCGCAAACAAAATGCAATTGTGCGCAAACGTGCGCAAACGAAGCGCAATCGATTTCAATCACGAAAATTATTGCTTTCTAAAGTTGGGGGGCCAAGTTCACACTAGTACTAAAATGAACTATAAAGAGGTTTTGGTTGAAATGTGCAAGGAGAATACGTTTTCAATGATCGAATGTTTGGAACTAGTAGAACATGAATTTAAAGCAAAACTTCGACTTAAAAACGGGGTGAAGATATTAACAGGGTTTGGTGCGACAAGTGCTTAGCTGATTTTAGTAATAAATCAAACACGAAACCGACACTAAACCATATCGGTGTTCTGAATCGCAGTATATAATGTATTATCAAATTGCGCATAACGTGAAGCCATAGTATACTGCGAATCAGACCAGAGCTGCTCTGAATAATAGTACAGAATGCCAATACGCGTCCGGGTTCCTGGGACTTTTTGCATGCGCTCTTCAAATGTCTCAGTTCCTCGCAGTTCCAACATTGAGTGCGACCCTTTTCTTCTTCTTCAACATGTCTTTAATTGTTGTCTGAAAATCTGTTTCTTCCGTCGCGATCTGGACTTTTCCGTGAGATGTGCATTTATGGTTTCTTGGCTTCAATTTCTAGCGCTACGGTCAAAGCCTCCAGCATTGACCTCGGAAGAGACCATCTCACTACTTGCTGAATTCTTCTGCATTCTTTGCTAATAAAGACCAAGAGTTTTGGTCTTCCAAAGCTGCTCACATGAAAACATCATCTGTAATGACTCGATTATACGAATCCGCTCGATGTATTCCCCTTTGTATGCATTGTAAATGTTTAATTTAGAAACAATAATTTAAAAGCTTCCGTTAAAGCACATTCCTGTTTAAATTATAGCTCCACCGAGGTTTCGTTCGCGCTACATTTTTCCCTCGAAGAAACTCCTGATGTGTATATAAAGGCGATTGCATAACGAAAGCATATTTGTATTTCTCGACTCTGGGGGTACCTAAGTGTAAGACCATTGTTACATCAATATCACCAGCGTGTCTGACATAATAATAATACATCGAGAGCGAGAGGCGAATTGCGTCTGAAGATGTAAAGACGCGGCGCACTACCGCTATAACTAGAAAATGTGAACGGAATATGCATGAGGGTTTTGGGCTTATAATTTGCACCCCCAATTCAAGTGGTTTCCGAGGATAAGCAACATAATATCGAAGTGAAAAATAGCTGAATATTCATACGGGCGGAAAAAAGACGTTTCGCGCAGACGAGAAGTTCCTTATGGTAACTTTACCGAAGGGATTACGGGAAAGAATGGCGAAAGGGGTGGATTTCGATGCTGTGCTCTCTATCATTGAGAGGCCCCACTTGCCACGAATGTCGTTTAGGGTATAAATATACGGATATACCGGATTCGGTTTACTGTCGTTGAGTTTGTGCTAGAACTAGAACTTGGGCGAAATTGTGATCTGTTTAATTTAAGGTGCATTATTGACCATTAAATTCAGACAGAGCTGGGCAGTACTAGTTCAAAAGTTACAGCCTTTTGAATTTTCTTTCGAAATTGGTTTCTAGTCTGTAACTTGATTGAGAAGTCTGATCGAAAAAGTACGAATTGTTTTGGATTCTACGCACCAAAATTAATAAGAAAAAGTGTTTTCCCGAGAAATTTTGGTGCAGTCGATTTTTTGTAAAAAAAGGAAGGTTATACACTGCCTTTTTTTGAGGCCGTAAAAAAAATTGTCTGAGATCGACCGGGAAAAAACATTTTCTTATAGAATTTGGCCCGTAGAATCCATAATTTCAAACAGTTCCAAGATTGGGCTACTAGTTCAAAAGTTACAGCCCTTTGAATTTTCTTTCGAAAATGGTTTCTAGTCTATAACTTTTGATTGAGAAGTCTGATCGAAAAAGTACGAATTGTTTTGGATTCTACGCACCAAAATTAATAAGAAAAAGTATTTTTCCGAGAAATTTTGGTGCAGTCGATTTTTGGTAAAAAAGGAAGGTTATACACTGCCTTTTTTTGAGCCCCGAAAAAAAAATTGTCTCAGATCGACCCGGAAAAAAAAATTTTCTTATAGAATGTGGCCTGTAGAATCCATAATTTCAAACAGTTCCAAGATTGGGCTACTAGTTCAAAAGTTACAGCCCTTTGAATTTTCTTTCGAAATTGGTTTCTAAGTCTATAACTTTTGATTGAGAAGTCTGATCGAAAAAGTACGAATTGTTTTGGATTCTACGCACCAAAATTAATAAGAAAAGGTGTTTTCCCGAGAAATCTTGGGGCAGTCGATTTTTGGTAAAAAAAAAGGAAGGTTATAACCTGCCTTTTTTTGAGCCACGAAAAAAAAATTGTCTCAGATCGACCCGGAAAAAAAATTTTCTTATAGAATGTGGCCTGTAGAATCCATAATTTCAAACAGTTTCGAGATTGGGCTACTAGTTCAAAAGTTACAGCCCTTTGAATTTTTTTTCGAAATTGGTTTCTAGTCTATAACTTTTGATTGAGAAGTCTGATCGAAAAAGTACGAATTGTTTTGGATTCTATGCACCAAAATTAATAAGAAAAAGTGTTTTCCCGAGAAATTTTGGTGCAGTCGATTTTTGGTAAAAAAGGAAGGTTATACACTGCCTTTTTTTGAGGCCCTCAAAAAAATTGTCTCAGATCGACCCGCAAAAAAAATTTTCTTATAGAATGTGGCCTGTAGAATCCATAATTTCAAACAGTTCCAAGATTGGGCTACTAGTTCAAAAGTTACAGCCGTTTGAATTTTTTTCGAAATTGGTTTTTTGCCCATAACTTTTTAATGATTTATTTTTTATTGCTGGGGCCAGCAGAGATTGCCCTTAGGAAAGTTGAACGCCATAAGTCTTTATATTTCCTATCATTTTCATGGTAGTCTGTGGAAAAAGGTGCTAACACGAAACGTTTTTAGGGAGGAGGAGTCTGAGGGGTATAAAATACCCCCCAACAGACGAAGATGCGACTACCTTTTCCCAACAGCCACCATGATAGTAATAGGAGCGAAATAATAGGAATTTGGAAGTTTTACTTTGATAAAGACAATCTCCTTTGACTGGAGGGTATTCCATACTATATTCCATACCCCCCAGACCCCCCCCCGGTGTTTTGTTTTTCCCAAAAAAGTTTATTGTTAGCACTTATACGATAACTGTGAAGTATGAAAAAGATACGACTGTCCTTTTCTAAAAATCTGGGGGTCGGAGGGGTACAGAATACCCCCCAGCGACTACCTTTTCTCAAAGGCTCTTACCTTTATTAATGTATTTTTTTTTTTTTGTTATGTATTGGGGTTGTTATTGTTATGCTTAGGCACGTTTGTGCATTTTGTCCTGTAATTGGATTATTATCTGTTGGGCAAATAAAAAAAAAAAAATAAAATAAAATAAAAGGCTACCGTGATAGTAATAGGAGCAAACTAACAGGAATTTGCGTGTTTTACTTCGCTAAAGGCACTCTCTTCTGGCTGGGGGGGTATTCCATACTCCCCAGACCCCCCGGTGTTTCGCTTTTCCCCAAAAAATTTTAGTGTTAGCACTCATACGACAACTGTGAAGTATGAAATACTTTTATGGCTGTCCTTTTCCAAAAACGTAGAACCGGGGGTTCTTTGTGGTGTGGAATACCCCCCTCCCCTCATGCGACTACCCTTTCCCATAGAACACTACGAAAGTGATAGGAGGAAATCTTTTCTGGACCCCCCCCAGCCAGAAGAGAGTGTCTTTAGCACGGCAAAACTCGCAAATTCCTATTCTTTTGCTCCTATTACTATCATGCTTTTAGTGGTTCTAGGTTTGAAAATGACTTTTGAAAATGCGCGGGAAGGGAAAGGGGGGTAAACACGCGTTCTATGCTTCATGGTATTCTAATAAAAGGTCTTATCGAAAGGAATTGGTTTCTAGTAACAATAACTGTGTTCCGCCATTCCTTTTTTAGATCAGAGGGGACGGGGGGATGAGATTGGTGTTATCTTTCAAAGGTCTCAACGAATGGAACTGTTTTCTAAAAACTTTTACCCCTTCTCAAAATTGAGAAGAGAGAGAAGAGGCACTTATCCTTCATGGTACTCTAAAGAATGGACTCCACGAAAGGAATTGACTTCTACCACCTCTTCCTCCATGACTTATTATCAGGATCGGTTACAGTTCCTTGCCTTTTTGTAATCGGGGTGGAGGAAGGGGAAGTTTAGGGTTTCTCGCAAACCGGCGGTTACTGGATTAATCTCCAAAATGACTGTTTCAGCTTACAAACTCGCGAAAATCTTGGGTTCATTTCCATTACACTTAGGGAGTTTTCGTTGACAAAAAGCGCCCTTAACGAAATGAAATATTGTCAAACAAAAACGTTAATCATAAGAGCTAATGGCGTTTAGATAAACGTTTCATTTTCTTTTTCAGTATCGCGCCCTGCACTAATTACATTTGATTGTATTTTTGATTAATACAAGCTTCCTTCAATTTATTATATCTCTATATTGAATTCGGGCTTTCTTTTATTCATTCGATTTGTTCTTCCACTTTTTTTTGTCTCTCGCTCCTCTCGTGTCTAATCAATCTTAGGCGCGTTGTTTTCTAAGCGCCTGCCAACTACTGAATATTATGTTCTTATCTATTACAGTGCCACCGGATATTGATGACACGGAAACCAGCAGCGACGTGACCGTGTCAGAAGGCGAAAACGTCACGCTGGCATGCAAGGCGTCGGGCCATCCCTCACCGAGAATTTTATGGAGACGCGAGGACGGAGATCACCTCCACCTACAGCAGCACTCCCGCACGCACGACGCGGAAAGAGGTACGATACGACTACTTAAACTATTTATATTGACAAAAACAGAGGCAAAAATGTAATTCTACGTCTGTTATGTTTTACAACTTTCCCTCCTTCGTATATATTACTTTTATTTGTTTTTCCGACGGGGTTTCCACATTTTCTTTTGCTCCCGCTTTTGTGGGTTAACTTAAACGACTTTCGCAAAGTAAATATTTTGCTTTTATTAAAAATACCGAAATGCCTACCTATTCTCCTTTAAATTTCTACGTATTTGTCTAACTTTGTCAATTATCCCCATTGCCTTCGGATGTCGTATTGCGGATTTTCTATTTGCGAAACTGCTTCTCTGAAAATACCACCCTCTTTACAGTAAGGAAAGTGGAAGTGGTCCAGAAATCCAAAGTATTCTAGCAACAAACAACTGACGATGGTAGTGCTTCACTAAGGTCTTTGATTAATCATGCACTAATTCCTTTCGTTGTCTTATCTTATCTATTGTAGCGAATGTTCCAGAAACCAGAACGTTCTAGAAAAACTCAAAAAGTTCGGTCCTGTCACGGTCGCCAATAATTTTTAGTCCCAACCAAATGACTTTTTCGTTTCCAACAAACCGTTTCAAGTTTCTTCAGAAATCTTTAAGCTCATTGGAGCTTCATCATGGATCTCCAAGCTTCATCCCTTCTTTAAATTTCATTTTTCGCTACGGCGGATATCACTGATACATACAGTTTAAATGATTAATTATTGCAGCAATCCCATCCGTTGTACTCGTATGAAACCGTAACTTTATATACACACACCATTAAAAAAATGGTATCGCATTGTGAACTTATTAGCAGTATTAGGGGTTGAAGCAATTAATTATCGAAGCGTCACCCTTGTGGCAAAATCGATTGTAAAACCGTATCGAGACTAGTTATCTTACAACTTAAATTGAATTTCGTTGTAAATTTTGCTAAGCAAAACACGACCTCACTCCCTCACGCAATTACTTAGAAAATAAGTCGCCTCCCTCTCCCCCTAACTAACTAAACCTGGGCTTTGTACTAATATTATCTGTTATTGCATTACATGCAGCGCGCCGCCCCGTTGACAGTACCGCTACAAACAAGCAAACTTACGCTACTGCAAATAAGCTTCGCTAATGAATTAATTTGAAGCGAACATGGTGTCGACCATATTAAATGGCGGAATCGACCTGTAATTTAAACTCGGTTTGCACAAAAGACAATTCAGAAATTGTGGAAGCGCGAGCGACCTGAAATTACTCGCCGTTAATTTTAATGCGAGTGTGTAGGTAGGTACGTGATTAAATCTAAAAGGATCTCCAAATGACGTTTTTCATTTGTCTCACGCTCTGACACTTTTTCTCGGCTGCTGGAAAATCAAAATTGAATTTGTGTGCCTCTTGGAAAAATTTTCTGGCTCACCTACAATAAGACATGTCCGACCATCATGTTTCGTATCGTCTTAAGAGCTTTAAGGACCTTGTAGGTTATTTAGAAGTTTATGCGTTTTAAAGGCCTCATAAAGCGATTAAGAGACCTTAAGAGAGTTTATTAGGCTTTAAAAGCTCTTCAAAATCTAAAGACTTACGAGCCTTTAACTTTTCTAGAACAGTTTATACAGGAGGGAAATAATTAATCTGTTGCCGACTCGTCGACCGTGAACTCGCGTACAAATGGACCACACACACGACGTTCTTGAGATCCTAAACCGAATGCCCTACCGCCATCTCTTCCGGACTAATCCCTACCCCTCATTTTGAATTTTCGCCACGTACCAAAATGGCAGTTAAGTAGTTAACGCGGCCATCTTGAATCATCAAACAATCCACGGTCGTTTAATATTGCAATTTCAGTGCTCCACGCGATTCTATATGAGATCTCGAAACCTGGAAAGAGGATTTTTAAGGTTTCTATGGGCATTTTGTTTTTTGCCACGCGCGAGTTATATGAGGTTTTGGTGTTTCCAATCATTTTTAAAATTTTTGTAGGGTCCCAAAGGTTCGAGCACAATTTCCGAACCGTCGGAAAGGGTGTTTAATAACCTTCCCAAAACTATCAGACAGAAAATCCTTGTAAAATTTTATCTGGCTACCAGGAGAACATGATGGTTGAGGAGGTCTTTTCCTATCACCCACAAACATATTTCAAAGCCAAATTTCGCTTTAAATCTTTACAAATTTTGTATCAGGAGAATATAATGTGCGAGGAGGTGTTTCAGCTCCTCATACATGAACTGTAACTCAGAAAATTCTTGTAAAATGCCCGGCTACCAGGAGAACATGATGGTTGAGGAGGTCTTTTCCCATCACCCACAAACATATTTCAAAGCCAATTTTTTTTAATCTCTACAAATTGGGGATTAAGAGAATATAATGTGCGAGGAGGTGTTTCAGCTCCTAATACACGAGGGGACAATCAGACAATTCTTTTAAAATTTTGTCCGGCTACCAGGAGAACATAATAGTCGAGGAGGTCTTTTCCCACCACCCACAAAAATATTTCGAAACCAAATTTTGTTTTCAATCTTTTCCAATTTGGTATCAGGAGGTTATAATGTGCGAGGAGATGTTTCAACTCCTAATACACGAGGGGACAATCAAAATTATTGTAAAATTTTGTCTGGCTACCAGGAGAACATAATAGTGGAGGAGGTCTTTTCCCATCGCCCACAAAAATATTTCGAAGCCAAATTTCGTTTTAAATCTTTTCCAATTTGGTATCAGGAGGTTATAATGTGCGAGGAGGTGTTTCAGCTCCTAATACACGAGGGGACAATCAGACAATTCTTTTAAAATTTTGTCCGGCTACCAGGAGAACATAATAGTCGAGAAGGTCTTTTTCCCACCACCCACAAAAATATTTCGAAGCCAAATTTCGTTTTAAATCTTTTCCAATTTGGTATCAGGAGGTTATAATGTGCGAGGAGGTGTTTAAGCTCCTAATACACGAGGGACAATCAGAAAATTCTTTTAAAATTTTGTCTGGCTACCAGGAGAACATAATAGTCGAGGAGGTCTTTTCCCATCACCCACAAAAATATTTCGAAGCCAAATTTCGTTTTAAATCTTTTCCAATTTGGTATCAGGAGGTTATAATGTGCGAGGAGGTGTTTCAGCTCCTAATACACGAGGGGACAATCAGAAAATTCTTTTAAAATTTTGTCCTTGGCTACCAGGAGAACATAATAGTCGAGGAGGTCTTTTCCCATCGCCCACAAAAATATTTCGAAGCCAAATTTCGTTTTAAATCTTTTCCAATTTGGTATCAGGAGGTTATAATGCGCGAGGAGGTGTTTCAGCTCCTAATACACGAGGGACAATCAGACAATTCTTTTAAAATTTTGTCCGGCTACCAGGAGAACATAATAGTCGAGGAGGTCTTTTCCCATCACCCGCAAAAATATTTCGAAGCCAAATAACGTTTTAAATCTTTTCCAATTATTATCAGGAGGTTATAATGTGCGAGGAGGTGTTTCAGCTCCTAATACACGAGGGGACAATCAGAAAATTCTTTTAAAATTTTATCTGGCTAGCAGGAGAACATAATAGTCGAGGAGGTCTTTTCCCATCACCCACAAAAATATTTCGAAGCCAAATTTCGTTTTAAATCTTATCCAATTTGGTATCGGGAGGTTATAATGTGCGAGGAGGTGTTTCAGCTCCTAATACACGAGGGTACAATCAGAAAATTCTTTTAAAATGTTGTCCGGCTACCAGGAGAACATAATAGTCGAGGAGGTCTTTTCCCACAAAAATATTTCAAAGCCGAATTTCGTTTTAAATCTTATCCAATTTGGTATCAGGAGGATATAATGTGCGAGGAGGTGTTTTAGCTCCTAATACACGAATTTTAGAACACCTTCATATTTTCTTCACAGCTTAGAATCCCTTAAGTACTGTAATATTCGCTGTTATAAATAGTATCTTTTCTTTCAGTTGACACGTTCAGCGGGACGAAACTGAATCTCCTACGCGTAGATCGTCGGCAAACGGGAGCGTACCTCTGCATCGCAAGCAACGACGTGCCACCAGCCGTCAGCAAAAGAATCGTATTGAACATAAACTGTAAGTACCTACAATTGTTCTATTCACTTCTACTCTCCTGGTAAATTTGAGATCCCACAAAACTTTAAAGAGGAGGTGGTACTCCTGATACTCAAACATTAAGTAGTGTGAATGGAGGGTAATCTCGGAGTCCTATGCAAATCATTGACCTCTGCTCTCCCTATATTTAACTTTACTTAAAGGTCTCTGCTCTCAATGCTCAAGCATTAAACAGGTTTAAATACAAAGCGAAACCCTTAATCTTTGAAAATAAAGAAGGAAGATAAAGCACTATGTAACATTTTTCTATCAAAGTCACAAAAACAAAAGATCATGCTTTCAAAATGTTTTCAAAAATTATTACAGAGGGCAACATCTACAGTAGTGTCTGTAACGGGAGGAATTTCGTACGTCACGACCCATTAACGACTTGTGACAGTCTGACGGGCGGTAATACCTTCATGGGTTTTACGTACCCAGCACAACCAGGTCAGGATTACTTATGATGACCTCCTGCGGGTTGGTGTATTGGCAATATTAAACGGCCGTGGGTTTTGATTGAGTAAGGGAACGAATTAGATTCGTTCCTGATTAAAGATGGCCGCCGTTTGGGTTTGCTAAAAAAAATTAAAATGAGGAGTAAGGTTTATTCCGGACGAAATAGAACTAGGGCATTCGGTGTTGAGCCACCAGATCGTTAAGTGCGTGGTGCAATATAATAGTTTTTTCGGGAACTAAGCGCCAAGCATTCAGCTTTGAACTACGAGAACGCCATGTATGCGGTTCCAAAAATGTTTGTTCGTAGGGCATATAAAATTTTCGTCTAACTAATAAGTATGAAATTGTTGTGTTTTGGGGGTATTCTCTACCCCTACACCCCATCGGTAACAATTCAGCTGGCCTAAGGACTACTCCAAAGATCGTAGCACTGGGGGGTCTGGGGGGTATGGAATACCCCCCAGCAAAAGGAAGACTTAAAGTGTGGCGAAGGTTTAAAGCCATCCAACAAAGAAAGGCTCCACAACCCTTTGTCTATACGCCTCAGTGCCTTCATGGTGGCCTGTTGAAGGTGGCAATAACACTATCGTCTGCTGGGGGGTATTCCATCCCCGCCGAACCCCACGGCAACAATTTCTTACACGAAAAATTTAACTTTCAACCCTCTCGTGATATTTTTTGAAAAATAACGATCACATTCTGTTGGCCTAAGGAGTACTCCAAAGATCGTAGCACCGGGGGGTCTGGGGGGGTATGGAATACCCCCCAGCAAAAGGAAGATTTAAAGTGCGGCGAGGGTTTAAAGCCTCCACAACCCTTTGTCTATAAGTCTTAGTACGTTTATGGTGATTTATTGGAAATGACACTGTCGTTTTCTGGAGGGTTTTCGTTTTAATTAGGGCGATTAAAGGGTGTTCAACAAATAGTTGCATGTGCAATGCTTGCATCAGGACCTGTATTCCTCATACATTTCAGGCACAGAGAGAAAGTATAGACGCTATTCGGGGTGAAAGGGAAGGGCGAGGGGGGCCGTTCTCCTTATCAGGTAATATCAATCGCGCTTGCAGAACAGTTGACATGAAATTAAAGGCTAATTAAATTACCTAACGTAATTTCGCACCTCATTAACCGACGCTTTCTTTAAGTTTGATAACCTCGGGCGTGAAATGAGCGCCATTAAAAAATCGTTAATCGTCGGATAGGATTTTTTTCAAGTGTCATTTAGTGCCGACCATTCAGCAGGCATGTCCGAAATTTGCTTGGCTCTAGCGCTACTACTGTCACTTGCTTCTAATGTGAGACATGCGACTCAGTTGCAGTTGCGTTTCAGGCATCAGTATCTCCCTTCGCATTGGGTTCGTAAGTGCAAAATTGGGGTGGGGTGCTAACAGGTGGTGATTTTAGCAACAGCACATAGGGCCGCTTCCGTTAATGTCCGGTTGGTCTCCGGCGACGTACGACCTGCGGGGGCTGTGGACGCAAGATGACGGAAGCGCTTTTCGCTCTCTCGAGAAGAAAGAGCACGAAAACCTGAACAAAATCGAAGAAAAGGACGACGCGATATCCACTCGTGCATTTGTACCCATCACGAATCCTTCACGGTACCGAAAGCATCCTCCTAGTCCATACCAAACCTATGGAGGTTCTCTGTACCAAGCGCCTAATCCATACGGAAACGGCTACGTCTCGACGTCTTCTTCGAGCAGCGGCAAGATGCTAAAAACCACGACGACGTACACGACCTCCATCACTTTAGTCAAAACGATCCGGGCAAGGCGCGTGGTGGAGGTGATTGATCTGCAAACTAACGAGAAAAACGTGTTCGAGATTTGGGATAGCTCCTCCACGGAGCAGGTTGAGGAATCGACGATTTCGGATCGGTGCAGTCCAAACCCCCAACCGGGGGTAAAGGAGAAGGTGACCGTGGTAAAAGTTGTGAAAATCACCACTACCGAAACACGAACAGTGTCCTCATCCGAGCCACTGCCAGTCGACAAGACTCCACTCTGTCCAACGGTCAAAAGATCTTCATTGGCCAATACCACAGTTGTCCTAACCAACGCCACGAAGGCAACATTGGAAACCGCTGCCCCCGGTTCGGGTCACACGAAGTCTTTCACATCCGCCGATCATCTGATCGCGAACGCCGTCATGAACCTGGCCCCCACCTACAAACGAATCACAACTAGGGGCACCGACGTCTTGGCCACTACAGGTCTTCAAGATTCCCCAAGTCCAGTCGAGGAAACGTTAGGCACCTGCACGTTTATAAGGGCCGGTCAGTCGCCTAGATTGGTCGAGACCAACGTCAACAGTAGGATCACGGTTACACCTTTGGATTTCGTACCGTACATGTTCCCGTTCGGTCAGCCCCCAGTTCGTTTCCTGCCGTAGGCGTTTCCGCCATTTTGTTTTTTTTTAATTTAAGGACAGAAAATATAAACGGCACTAGATTGTGTTCGGTTCAAAGGGCACACTTTTTTAATAGAGGTGCCCACCCCACACCCCAGTTGGGGTTCGGTCTGACGTACAGCTTAGGGCACTTTGTAATTTTCAACAAAAAGTAACGCTAGATGGCGCTAGTTAAATATTCAAAGGGGCGTGGTCCCCTACCCCACTGGTGGGCCTGGGCAGGGCGTCGCTTTGTTTACGCCATCCATCAGCCTGTGGTGACAAAAGTTCCGTCGAATTTATTGCGTCGCGTCGCCATAACTTTAGATAAAAGGAAGTTAATTAAAATGGCGGGAAAAAATACGAGCGAAACGGGATATTTATTTTAATAACGCTCTCGGCCAATAAATAGCGGCCAGAAGCGGAATTGCACTCGGAGGAGAGCTTCGGTAGCGTCATCGCGAAATATCAAACTCTGTCTCCAGCATTGTCGCGATTTTCCGGCGGAATCGACCTTATGAATAAGCCATAAATCAGCAGTTATGAAAAAAAAAAAAGGACAAGATCTGCAACGTAGATTTTTGTTTCGCCGAAAACTTTCTCCTTTTTCCCCCGTTGAAAGCAAACAGTATAAGCAACTCTGTTTGTTTCTAACGTTATGATGAAGAACTTCAATAAAAATTTAAAACTTTATTTGAAAAGTTTTAAAATATGTGCTCGATGGAGAGAAGAGAAGAGAAAGGTTGGAAATTTATGTCTTACTTATAAAGATTTTTAACTGGAAAATGCTCGTAAAGTTTTATACTGATCGTATAACTGTTTTAAATTATGCTCATCTGGCGTCGTATAAGGTTACATTGTGTCCAATTAGCGGCGATCTGCGGAAGAATGGGGGCGTTTAAGGACCATCGCTATAAACAAAAGGAGTGCGCTTTTAGGGAGGCTCAAGTAATCCACACCCCAAATTGTAAGCTCAACAAGTGGTCTACATGTCATTTGCAAGAACACTTTTCAGCTTGTTCCACTTGAGCCAAATCTAAGAGTCTCCAGGTATAATTTTCAAAGGTTCATCAGAAGATAGACAACCTGAGACACTCGGTGACGATTCTCCTCACCTAACCTCACGAATACTTTAACCTAACCTTCAATCTCCACGCACATTATATTCTCCTGATACAAGATCTTTCACCTAACCTAACTAGCACACTAACCTAACCTCACTAATACTTTAACCTAACCTTCAATCTCCTCGCACATTATATTCTCCTGATACAAGATTTTTCACCTAACCTAACAAGCAAACTAACCTAACCTCACCAATACTTTAACCTAACCTTCAATCTCCACGCACATTATATTCTCCTGATACAAGATTTTTGAGCTAACCTAACTCGCACACTAACCTACCCTCACTAATGCTTTAACTAACCTTCAATCTCCTAGCACTTTATATTCTCCTGATACCAGATTTTTGAGCTAACCTAACTAGCACACTAACCTAACCTCACTAATGCTTTAACCTAACCTTCAATCTCCACGCACATTATATTCTCCTGATACAAGATTTTTGAGCTAACCTAACTAGCACACTAACCTAACCTCACTAATGCTTTAACCTAACCTTCAATCTCCTCGCACATTATATTCTCCTGATACAAGATTTTTCACCTAACCTAACTAGCACACTAACCTAATCTCACTAATGCTTTAACCTAACCTTCAATCTCCTCGCACATTATATTCTCCTGATACAAGATTTTTGAGCTAACCTAACTAGCACACTAACCTAACCTCACTAATGCTTTAATCTAACCTTCAATCTCCTAGCACTTTATATTCTCCTGATACCAGATTTTTGAGCTAACCTAACTACCACCCTAACCTAACCTCACTAAACGGTTATTTTAACCTTCAATCTCCACGCACATTATATTCTCCTGATACCAGATTTTTGAGCTAACCTAATTAGCAAACTAACCTAACCTCACTAATGCTTTAACTAACCTTCAATCTCCTCGCACATTATATTCTCCTGATACCAGATTTTTGAGCTAACCCAATTAGCAAACTAACCTAACCTCACTAATGCTCTAACTAACCTTCAATCTCCACGCACATTATATTCTCCTGATACAAGATTTTTGAGCTAACCTAACTAGCACACTAACCTAACCTCACTAATACTTTAACCTAACCTTCAATCTCCACGCACATTATATTCTCCTGATACAAGATTTTTGAGCTAACCTAACTAGCACACTAACCTAACCTCACTAATGCTTTAACTAACCTTCAATCTCCTCGCACATTATATTCTCCTGATACAAGATTTTTCACCTAACCTAACTAGCACACTAACCTAACCTCACTAATGCTTTAACCTAACCTTCAATCTCCTCGCACATTATATTCTCCTGATACAAGATTTTTCACCTAACCTAACTAGCACACTAACCTAATCTCACTAATGCTTTAAACTAACCTTCAATCTCCTCGCACATTATATTCTCCTGCTACCAGATTTTTGAGCTAACCTAACTAGCACACTAACCTAACCTCACTAATGCTTTAACCTAACCTTCAATCTCCTCGCACATTATGTTCTCCTGATACAAGATTTTTCACCTAACCTAACTAGCACACTAACCTAACCTCACTAATACTTTAACCTAACCTTCAATCTCCTCGCACATTATATTCTCCTGATACAAGATTTTTAACCTAACCTAACTAGCACACTAACCTAACCTCACTAATGCTTTAACCTAACCTTCAATCTCCTCGCACATTATATTCTCCTGCTACCAGATTTTTGAGCTAACCTAACTAGCACACTAACCTAACCTCACTAATGCTTTAACCTAACCTTCAATCTCCTCGCACATTATATTCTCCTGATACAGATTTTTTAGCTAACCTAACTAGCACACTAACCTAACCTCACTAATACTTTAACCTAACCTTCAATCTCCACGCACATTATATTCTCCTGATACAAGATTTTTCACCTAACCTAACTAGCACACTAACCTAACCTCACTAATACTTTAACCTAACCTTCAATCTCCTCGCACATTATATTCTCCTGATACAAGATTTTTCACCTAACCTAACTAGCACACTAACCTAACCTCACTAATGCTTTAATCTAACCTTCAATCTCCTAGCACTTTATATTCTCCTGATACCAGATTTTTGAGCTAACCCAATTAGCAAACTAACCTAACCTCACTAATGCTCTAACTAACCTTGAATCTCCACGAACAATATATTCTCCTGATACAAGATTTTTGAGCTAACCTAACTAGCACACTAACCTAACCTCACTAATACTTTAACCTAACCTTCAATCTCCTCGCACATTATATTCTCCTGATACAAGATTTTTCACCTAACCTAACTAGCACACTAACCTAACCTCACTAATGCTTTAATCTAACCTTCAATCTCCTAGCACTTTATATTCTCCTGATACCAGATTTTTGAGCTAACCTAACTACCACCCTAACCTAACCTCACTAAACGGTTATTTTAACCTTCAATCTCCACGCACATTATATTCTCCTGATACCAGATTTTTGAGCTAACCTAATTAGCAAACTAACCTAACCTCACTAATGCTTTAATCCAACCTTCAATCTCCTAGCACTTTATATTCTCCTGATACCAGATTTTTGAGCTAACCCAATTAGCAAACTAACCTAACCTCACTAATACTTTAACCTAACCTTCAATCTCCTCGCACATTATATTCTCCTGATACCAGATTTTTTAGCTAACCTAACTAGCACACTAACCTAACCTCACTAATACTTTAACCTAACCTTCAATCTCCACGCACATTATATTCTCCTGATACAAGATTTTTCACCTAACCTAACTAGCACACTAACCTAACCTCACTAATACTTTAACCTAACCTTCAATCTCCTCGCACATTATATTCTCCTGATACAAGATTTTTCACCTAACCTAACTAGCACACTAACCTAACCTCACTAATGCTTTAATCTAACCTTCAATCTCCTAGCACTTTATATTCTCCTGATACCAGATTTTTGAGCTAACCCAATTAGCAAACTAACCTAACCTCACTAATGCTCTAACTAACCTTGAATCTCCACGAACAATATATTCTCCTGATACAAGATTTTTGAGCTAACCTAACTAGCACACTAACCTAACCTCACTAATACTTTAACCTAACCTTCAATCTCCACGCACATTATATTCTCCTGATACCAGATTTTTGAGCTAACCTAATTAGCAAACTAACCTAACCTCACTAATGCTTTAATCCAACCTTCAATCTCCTAGCACTTTATATTCTCCTGATACCAGATTTTTGAGCTAACCCAATTAGCAAACTAACCTAACCTCACTAATACTTTAACATAACCTTCAATCTCCTCGCACATTATATTCTCCTGATACAAGATTTTTCACCTAACCTAACTAGCACACTAACCTAACCTCACTAATACTTTAACCTAACCTTCAATCTCCTAGCACATTATATTCTCCTGATACAAGATTTTTGACCTAACCTAACTAGCACACTAACCTAACCTCACTAATACTTTAACCTAACCTTCAATCTCCTCGCACATTATATTCTCCTGATACAAGATTTTTCACCTAACCTAACTAGCACACTAACCTAATCTCACTAATGCTTTAACTAACCTTCAATCTCCTCGCACATTATATTCTCCTGATACAAGATTTTTCACCTAACCTAACTAGCACACTAACCTAACCTCACTAATGCTTTAATCTAACCTTCAATCTCCTAGCACTTTATATTCTCCTGATACCAGATTTTTGAGCTAACCTAACTACCACCCTAACCTAACCTCACTAAACGGTTATTTTAACCTTCAATCTCCACGCACATTATATTCTCCTGATACCAGATTTTTGAGCTAACCTAATTAGCAAACTAACCTAACCTCACTAATGCTTTAACTAACCTTCAATCTCCACGCACATTATATTCTCCTGATACCAGATTTTTGAGCTAACCTAATTAGCAAACTAACCTAACCTCACTAATGCTTTAACTAACCTTCAATCTCCTC